TTTTTTTCTGGTTTTGTTTTGTTATGCATTTTATAAAGCTGGATTCCTTGTCTGATCTGGGGTTTATTATCATAGTAGTTTTAAGCTGTGTTATTAGCCACATTTGATATATGAAAGGTGCATTATAATATAACTCTTGTGTGCCACCTGATGTGGTTTCCCCTCGGCTGGGACACATCATTTGGTATGATAGGTTATCTTCTGGAACTCTAAGTATTTTGTGTGTTTAATCTGTTATGATATACTAGGGTTTTTTTGTTTGTTTGTTTTGGGGTTTTTTGTTTTCTTTTTTTTTTTTTTTTAATTATAGCATAATGCTAATTTAAAAAGCCTGTAAATCTCATAAATAAGCCAGCTAACAGAGTTGTATGCTGAAGAATAATCTAGCTGTTGCCTGTATGCTGCTAAACCAAAACAGAATTAGAACTCACTTTTGAGGCAAATGCAGTTAAGATCCTACATAGTGCATAAATAAAGCCTTGCAATGCTACTGGCAGTCGCAGGACCCAGGAGGACTGGATACATTCTGTCCAAATTTCAGGAACATTTCTTACTGCTTACCTCATAAAACACTTCTGTTCGTGGCATCTCTGTGTCCCTGAACCAAACCTGATACTATTGAGTTAGTGCTTGTGGGTTATATTATGTTGTTACACTGAGTGGCACAGCGCGTGCTGCAAAATTTCTTTTAAAATATTCTATGTACTGAAAAGGCCAAATCCAGATAAGTGGGTTCACGTGCCAACAGAGATGCTTTATTTGTCACATTATTATAACAATCTGTAGTAAGCAAAGCGATTCAGATTTTTTTTTTTTTTGTACATTTTTATATTGTACTTATTGGCATCACTGGTCTGAAATGCACATTTTCACCAACAGACCTGTAACAGACAAGTTTCCAGCAAAAAAAGAAAAAAAAAATACAACAAACACAACAAAACTAAAGTCTAGAAATAAAATTGGTAAAACCCAATGTCTGCCTCTTGTCTTCTTTTAACTTTCTTCTTTAATAGCCTTTAAAACGCTGAATGGTTGTAACTACCCACTGCAGTGAGTAAACCACGTGACATTTTCTGGGTTTGACTCGCTGTGCTTTAGTAGTTTCAGTGCTGAAAACCTTTTGTTATTATTTTAGGAAACTGTAGGCGTTTTGGGCAGTGGGCAGGTGACTGTCTCTCACAGCAACCTGTCTTTCTAAAGAAGCAAAATATTCCCTTTTTTTTTTTTAAATATCCTTTGGTGTTTCTTGTTAATAAAGGGTAAAATAAAATAGGTGCTGGGTGGTGCAGATACAGAATACTTGTATTTTTTTTTAACAGTGTAAGGTTTTGTATCTTAGAAGACAGGTTGTTTCAAAAGCAGTAGGTTAACCTGCCTTCTTTTCTGCCCTTTCCTCTCCTGCACAGCTTTTGCATCTTACTATTGTATAGCTAAGATAACAAGGGATTAAACCTGAAAAACATAGAAGCCTACTAAAAATGTGTGAAAAATAACCAGACCTAGAAGGAGGACAAGGAGGAAAAGAAATCATATATTATTATGAAGTTAAACAAAAAAATACTATAACCTGTGTCTCAATTCACTATCCAAAATATCTCTAAAAATTGGA